CAGTACCATCCACAACAGCAGAACACCTTTTTCTACTGTACATTCATATTTTCAGAAAAGGGAAAGGAATTGGTCTACCCTTGGCAAAACGGTCTTTTCCCCTGGTCCAGTGTCTGTGAGCAGTACTAGTCATGGAGGATGTCAGTCATGGAGGACTCTGGTCATGAAGGTCTCTGGTCATGGAGGACTCTGGTCATGGAGGACATCGGTCATGGAGGACATCGGTCATGGAGGACACTGGTCATGGAGGACACTGGTCATGGAGGACATCGGTCATGGAGGACACTGGTCATGGAGGACACTGGCCATGGAGGATGCTGGTCATGGAGAATGCTGGTCATAGAGGACATCGGTCATGGAGGATGCTGGTCATGGAGGACGCTGGTCATGGAGGACGTCGGTCATGGAGAACATCGGTCACGGAGGACGCTGGTTTTGGAAGACTCTGGTCATGGAGGATGTCAGTCATGGAGGATGTTGGTCATGGAGGACACCGGTCATGGAAAATGTTGGTGGGGTAGGAAGAAGCAGCAGTTCTTAGAGAGAAGGTAAGCTTCGAAGACCCAGATGGAGTCAGTCAGTGGCATATCCTTCCTTCTCTGGTCTTTGACCTGCAAGCTCATTGCTGTTGGAGGGGGAAACAGTGAAAACTACCCAACCATTTGTAGAAAACGCAAAGGGAAATTTCAAATAAGAAAAGGCCTCCTGAGTCTCACTCAGTGTTGATGGACAGATAAGGATGGCATGGTTGGCACAGTGTTGCAGCGGAGACTGGTTCATTGGCTCCAAAGAGCTATGATCTTGTTGAATTCATCATCTGTCACTATCAGCCTCTGGACTTCACAAGCTTGGTCACCCAATTCCTGTTAGTGAGATTTCTAAGAAACTGATGCAGAGCCAGCACCATAGCTCAATGTATTAAAGTGCTTGGTGCTAAGACTTCAGTTTGTGTTGGGGAATGATGTCATACGCCTTTAGTCCCTGTACGTGGGAGGCAGAGGCAGGCAGATCTCTGTGAGTTTGAGGCCAGCCTGGCTAAGAAACAAAAAAACAAAAACAAAAAAACAACTTGAGTTTGATCTCTGGAGTGCACAAGGTAGAAGAGGGGAATCTCTTGTGCTGGGCATGGTACATGAGAGTGTGTGATTTTTTGTTGTTGTTTTTCAAGACAGGGTTTCTCTGTGTAGTCCTGGCTGTCCTGGAACTTGTTCTGTAGACCAGGGTGGCCTCAAACTCAGAGTTCCATCTGCCTTTGCCTCCTGAGTGCTGGGATCAAAGGCACCACCACTGCCTAGTTATGTGGTGTGTGTGTGTGTGTGTGTGTGTGTGTGTGCGTGCGAATGCGCGTGTGAGTAATTTTTAAAAAGAGACTGGTATATAAGGAGGCTGGGGAAATGTCTCGGTCAGCAAAGTTCTTACCTTACAGCAGGAGGACCTGAGTTTGGGTCTCCAGTAGGCACATAAAAAGCTAAGTAAGCATGGAGGTGCGTTCCTGTACCCCAGCACTGAGGAGACAGAGATGGGCTGTCTCCCAGGGCTCACTGTTCTGCCAGTCTAGCAGAATCAGAATCAGAGAGCTTCAGGTTCAATGACAGATCCTATAGAAAAGAATAAAACACAGAATGATTGAAGAAGGCACTTGGCATCCACCTCTGGCCTCTGCATGCATATGTACACACATGCACGAGTACCTGCACACCCAATGTTCACATGTATGAACTTGTATGCTCTTATACATCACATCCATAAAATAAAAAAAAAACTGATGCCCAAATCCTAAATGAAAATGTATCAATTTAAAGTGTTTACTATGAATGCATTAGCCTTCCCCAAATCTATTTTGCAAACACCTTTGAAAATCTCAATTCAATGTCAAGTCCGGTTCTGACCAGTGTGGAGAGATAAATAGGACTCACCTTTTGCTTTCTAAGGGCTCCCTTTCTTGTGTGTGTATTGGCTGTGGGTAGATGCTTCTCTGAAATCACATGGCCAGTGCTCTATCATGAAGTAGCCTGTTCAGCACGGAATCCTAACAAAGGCTGGTTGCAGGACTTCTGCAAATCAGATCACCATGCTCCTTGGTGCAGCTTTGAGACCCGGTGCATTCCTGTGCTCTTGGTATTCCCCAGCTGTTCACAGTGTGCAGCCCCTGAAGTTACTTGGCTCAGAGTGATTCTGAGGGATTTTTCTTCCCCCGATTCTTTTTGGTGAATGAGATCGTGGGATGGTTATTGAAATGCCCTGGATAAGATTACAACCTGATAAGGTCAAACCATGGCTCACAAAGTTGGCACAGGCGATTAAGACACGTCTTTAATTGTAAAAACTTGTTTGTGAAATTCCTTGCAAATTGCAGGTTGACATCTGGGAAAGGGGAAAGGCTATCCTGGGAGGAAAGGCCATAATAGTGAGAGGAAAAATAGCATACGTGTTTGAGCTTTAAGCATGGTTCATTCTTAGCTGAAATGGTTATATAGAAGGATTATTATCTCTATAGGTAACCTTTGCAGCAAATGTTAATTGTGCTGGAAATTTCAACTCCCAGAGGATGAGAGACTTGAACAATGTTCTGGAGTGTGAGCGTCCTCCTCCTCCTCGTGTTTCCTTAATTTTCTGTTCTTAGATCCTGCCTCATAAGGCTTTTTCTTCTCTTCTCTCCTCTTCTCCTTCCCTCCCTCTCTTCCTTGTCTCCTTCCATTCTCCTCTTCTCTCTCTCTATAGCTTTCACTGTGTTTTAAGAGCTCATTCTCAGGTCTGGAGAGATGGCTCAGCAGTTAAGGACACTGCCTGCTGTTCCAGAGGTCCTGAGTTCAATTCCCAGCAACCACATGGTGGCTCACAACCATCTGTAGTGCCCTCTTCTGACCTGCAGAACACTGTATACAAAATGAATAAATTTATTAAAAAAAAAAAAAGAGCTCATTCTCAGCTGGGCGGTGGGGGTGCAGACCTTTAATCCCAGCACTCAGAGGCAGAGGTAGGTGGATCTCTGTGAGTTCAAGGCCAGCCTGGTCTACAGGACAGCCAAGACCACACAGAGAAACCCTGTCTTGAAAACAGGGGGTTGAGGGGGTACTGGAGAGATGGGGTTGGGGGGGGTGCTGGAGAGATGGTTCAGTGATTAAGAACACAGGCTGCTCTTCCAGAGGTCCCAAGCTCAATTCCCACATATTAAGACTTTGTCTCAGAAAAAAAAAAAAGAGTTGGATATAACTCTCAGAGGTAATTGCCAGTCCAAAGATCCAGGAAGCAGTAGCTCCATGGAAAGATAACCCATAAGAAGACATCAGATTCCATAGAGGTGGTTGTGAGCCATCCATTTATTTTACGTGTATGGATGTATTGCCTGCATGTACGTCTGTTTACTCTGTGCATGCCTGGCACCTGTAAAGGCCAGAATAGCATGTTGAATTCCCTGGAACCGGAGTTACAGATGATTATGAACTGCCGTGTGGGTGCTGGGAATTGAATTGGGTCCTCCTGAAGATTAGCCGGTGCTCACTCAACCGCTGAGCCAGCTTTCCAGCCCCCAGTGCTACAATCTTTTTTTTTGTTTTGTTTTGTTTTGTTTTGTTTTGTTTAGTTTTTCGAGACAGGGTTTCTCTGTGGCTTTGGAGCCTGTCCTGGAACTAGCTCTTGTAGACCAGGCTGGCCTCGAACTCACAGAGATCCGCGTGTCTCTGCCTCCCCGAGTGCTGGGATTAAAGGCGTGTGCCACCACCCCCTGGCTCCAGTGCTACAATCGTAACAATTCCCCCCCCCCCATCCCCTGCTTCTTTTCTTGTTTGTTACATTGCTACATATTAAACACTGGGCCTGCCACATGCTTCTCAGCTGCTTTACCTCTGAGAGTTAGAGCCAACTCTTTTTTTTTTCCGGAGACAAAGTCTTATCATGTAGTCAAGGCTTACCCTAAATCTGTGATCCTCTTCCCACCACATCTCAGGTGCTAGGATGATAGGGGTGCGCTGCCACACTCAGCCTTCTGCTTACCACCTCGGATCCTGTCCCTTCTTTCCTACACGCCTGATCAGTGCTCTGGATTAGGAAGGAAATCATTATCCAGGGAATCCAATATCCTCTGGCATCTGCAGATCTCTCTCTCTCTCTCTCTCTCTCTCTCTCTCTCTCTCTCTCTCTCTTTACACACACACACACACACACACACACACACCTACATACAAGTAAGCAGGCACACATTATACACATAAAATTAGTTATTGTGTTAAACTAAAAACTAAAACTTCACCTTAAGGTGAGGGTATAACTCAGTGGTAGAGCAGTTGCCTGGCCTGTGTGAGGCCCTAGGTTCCATCGCCAGCACAGAAAATACATTCCATCTGAATCTGATGCCACGTTTCCAGCCTCTCTGAGTCTGTGTTAGTGTAAAGTCTGAATACATCCCAGCAAGGCCCTTCCTGACCTGACACTGCTTGCTCACAATTCTGAACTTCAGTGGCTTGTCTCATCTCTGAGAGCTTTTTCTAGAACTCTTCCACATAGGGAAGTCCTCCTTGATCACGATGCCTGAATCCTGGGCAAATCTTCAGCGGAGTACTCCGTTTTGTCTTGCTAGCACAGTTGGTGGGGCAGGCACCAGGTTAACCTACTTCCCCACTCGCAGGACCGGGCACAAGGCCAGCCATCCTCCAGATACTTTGATTGGATAATCAGAGATTGGCAAGCCTCTTGTGCCAGAGCCAAGGCACATCCAGTCTGTGGGCAGAATCTAGGAGCCTTGTGACCAAACTGTCCAGAGCCTTTTGTGGAATACCAGGCTTGGGTCACACCGGAGTGTGATTCCAGGACAATCCAAGCAGTGTAACTGAGGCCTTGCAGCGCAGGCCTTTCCCGGAGCGCAGAGAGCAGAAGGCCGCTCAAGTCACAGAAAGGAAGGCAGGACCTGGAGGAGGCATGGCTAGCAGCGCCCAGGAGAAAGAACAGGGCGGCTGTCACTGGCTCCCTGGCACAAACCCAAGTAGGAGGAGGCCCGAACTCATTCATCCAGGGCCAGCCCAGGATAGACTCCCTAGCAGGGTTGGCCCAGCCTAGGCCAGGCCACTAGGCGGAGAGGGAATTTCCTTTGGCACCCTCCCCCTTAGGAACCTGTCTGGACGATTTTAGTTCAGGGAAGGCGGGTGCAGAGCCTGGTAGGCTGCAGCTCGGGCCAGCAGGCTGCTCTGTTTGCTGCTTGAAGAGCAAGATCGGACTGCAGGGTGGGACGGCTGTGCCTCGGCCTCCCCAGGTAAGGTGCAGGGGTTGGGGCTGGCGCTGGGAGGCCAAGTACTGAAACTGGAGGCGAGTGGCAGGAATTCCAGGCAGAGCATTAAAGCTGGTTGCCAACCGATGAGGGGATGGAAAGGTGCTGCTTCCAGAATCTACCTTCGGGAAGAACCTAGAGTGGCCGCTTAGCGCTCTGAAACTTTTCCTTCTCAAAGTTGACAGCACTTTGGAACGCTTGGGAAATGATTGGGGAGGCGACCGGGGAGTTCAATCCATTCCCTCACTGACTTTTCAAACCCTGTCGATCCTTTACTTTCTCTGTAGCCGCATTCTCGGACCCCCAGGGTTTATTTTTATTTTTGGCGGGAGGCATGCTGGTGTGTGTGTGTGTGTGTGTGTCTGTGGTGTGTGTGTGTACCATATCATGCCAAATAAGTGTCCTACTGCTTAGCTCCACCTGCAACCACACGCAGGTATTGTCTCTGTCTTCACCTGAGCAGGGATTCTACCCCGTGCTTCCCCACCCCCCCCCACCCCCGTCTCTGCCCCAAGGGCTTGCCGGGCAAGACAGTCTCACCCCTTCCAGCAAGGCGCTCCCCTGGACCGCTTCCTCCTTCCTGACAAGGCACCCGAGGGATTTCACTCACTCAAATAATTTACTTCTGTTCATTTGTTTACTCATTAGTTGAGTGTGCACTTCACTTGTCTGGAGAGAGGAACATCCCATTTCTCCTCCTGTTGAACAGGAAAACTGAAATTTATCCCCACGCATCTTCAAGCTGGTAGGCAGGCGTGGTGGGAAATTGTGCTGGAGAACCAGAGAGGCCTGGATTCCTACCCCACATCTTCTGTTTACTTCCTGGGCCTCGGCTTCCTGGCAGGGTTTTCGTTTTGTTTGTTTGCTTTGAAAGATGATAAGGAACTAGCTGAATCGAGGACAGGCCGGGTGACTGGCACACAGTGGGGCCTGGATAAACAGCTACACTTTCTCTTTCTTTGTCCCTCTTTCAGCCACTCCCTCCCTAACTGGCTGCAGGCTTGTAAAGATTTAGAAGACAAACCCTGGCCTCAACAGAACTCAGGTGGCCTGTAAACTGAACTGAGCAGTGGAGGTGGTGCTCTAGGGGGTTGGAGGCCAGAAGGTGTGAGGGCGCAGGGAGACCAACTTCTGGGTGAAGGTCTAAACACTGGGCCATAGCTAGGGCCTGACTCTTATGCTGTGTTCCTACCTGCAAAAATCATTGTTCCCCAAAACATTGTTCCCTTGCATTTTTTTCTTTTCTTTTTCTTTTTTTTTTTGGTTTTTCGAGACAGGGTTTCTCTGTAGCTTTGGAGCCTGTCCTGGGACTCCCTTTGTAGACCAGGCTGGCCTCGAACTCACAGAGATCCGCCTGCCTCTGCCTCCCGAGTGCTGGGATTACAGGCGTGCGCCACCACCGCCCGGCTTGCATTTTTTTTTTAAAGTCTATTTTATTACTTTTTTTTTCGAGACAGGTCTCATTATGTAGTCTTGCCTGGCCTGGAACTCACAAGGTAGACTAGACTGGCCTTGAACTCTCAGAGACCCTCCAGCCTCTGCCTTCCTCACATGTCCTCCCCATTAATGATTATTTGATAATTTTGTACATTCATAAAATGAACTGTAGTCATTTTCACATCCCCATTCCCCCCCCTCATCCCCATTCTCCTCCCTCATCCCCCTCTCCCCACTGGTATCCTCACCATTCCCCTCCCTCATCCCCATCCCCCTCCCTCATCCCCATTCCCCTCCCTCATCCCCCTCTCCCCACTGGTATCCTCACCATTCCCCTCCCTCATCCCCATCCCCCTCGTCCTCATTCCTCTCCCTCATCCCCCTCTCCCCCACTGGTACTCTCACCATTCCCCTCCCTCACCCCCATCCCCCTCATCCTATTCCCCTCCCTCATCCCCATCCCCTTCATCCTATTCCCCTCCTTCATCCCCCTCTCCCCCACTGGTACCCTCAATAAATCTCCTTTCTACTTCAAGTGTGTGGCCACTGAGTTTAATTAGAGCTAATTTGTGGAGTGGGAGTGGAGGTTATTTAGTGTCAAAGAGACAGATTGTCTGTGGCAGACCACTAAAGAAAGTGACACACCTTCCCCAACAGGTGGTATTTGTCTATAGTCCCTCAGCCCCAGCTGAGCCTGAGCACTCAACCACTGAAGCGCTTTATCTTGGGCTTCTGCACCTCTACCATCTCAACACTCAGGAAGCTGAGTTCAAAGCCAGCCTGGGCTACACAGAGACCTTGCCTCAAATACCAAACCAACCAAACAAAAAGACATTATCACATTAGATCATAACCGTGCTATATTACTCTCATCCCCTGAGGGTTTACCTAAGACCACATGGCTAATGAGTAATGGATCTAGAATTCAGATTTGGAGATCAGACTCCAAGCTGTCTGCTCAACTCCTTGTTGTCTTTCAAAGTCTCTGTATAAAGGGCAGGAAGCAGGGTGTGTGTGTGTGTGTGTGTGGGGTGTCCTCGTTCCCTAACTACAGAAACACCAGCCTTTTTCATTTCTCTTGTTCAGGGCTGTTTTATCCAGGTGGGAGGAGACACTCCTGTAGTTAGTTGGTTGGTTCATTCATTCACTCATTCATTCATGTGCTTTATCTGTCCCGAGATACCTAAGGGTTCCAAAAGGGCAGTAATTACCTTGGCATGATGATTTATGCCTGTAGTCCCTACACTGGGCGGTGGCCACGTGTGTTTTTGGGCGAGTCTGAGGCCACCTTGGGCTACATAGCAAGTACCAGGCCAGCTAGGGCTACACAGCAAGACCTTGTCTTAAGTGAACAAAGCCAAAGCAACCTAGGCAACCCAAGGGGCAGGGATGGTGTCTCTATCAGTCACACAGGCAGGGCGCCTTCCATGTTCTTGCTGTAAGAATGCTCGGTGAGTCCTTTGTGAACGAATGAAGCTGACGGATAGCTAGCGATGCATTCCATGGATGGTGTGTGATAGGATTCACAGTGGCTAAAACGGAAGCCTTACACTCAGGTTGCCCATAGAAACCATCCCAGACACGAGCAGAGGTTAGTGAGGGGCCTTCCAGGGGCACTCACTTCTGCCGTGTCTGCTGCGTTCCCAGCTGTGGTGTAGACCTCACGCCTCTACAATGCTAGATATATATATATATGTGTGTGTGTGTGTGTGTGTGTGTGTGTGTGTGTGTGTGTGCGCGTGTGTGTGTGGCAAGGCTTTGTCGAGGAGGTGGAAAGGGACTCAAATTGGGACTGCAGGGAGGGAAGATGTTCCAACAGAGGGCAGAGCTCAGGAGGAGACCTATCAGAGAGCGGGAACCCAACCTGCTCAGGCTCAGTATGGCCACAGTACAGGGTGTGGTGGTGGGGAAAGCAACAACTGAGGTTGGCTGGAGATATACTTCAGTTGGTAGAGTGCTTGCTTAGCGTGCACAAGGCCTTGGGCTCTATTCCTAGTGTTGTGTAAACCACGAGCAGAGATGGATGCCAATAATCCTAACACTCAGGAGGTGGGTACGGAGGACAAATCCAAGGCCATAGCCTCAGTTACAAACTGTTTGAGGCCATAGCCTCGGGTACGTGAGGTGAGAGGCTGGAGGGACGGTCAGTAGGTAAAGTGCAGGTTGCTTAAGTAGGAGGACCTAAGATTGATCTTTCAGACTCTTGTCAAAGCTGTGTGTGGTACCGCGTCATCCCAATCCCAACTCACAGCTCTAGGGGGTGGAGACAGGAGGATCCTGGGGCTCCCTGGCTAGCCAGAGTCTCATCAATGAGTAGCCACAATGTCTCTGTCACTTGCTGTTCCTAGTTGTGTATCTGGCTCATAATTAGTTTTGATGAGTCGATTTGAGTAAAATCACTACTATTGAATCTATAGTAAGGCATAGTCCCTCCCCTCTAGTCACCAAATCTTTTTTCTTTCTCAGGAACAAAACAATCTCTGGTTATCTTTATAAACTTTTCTGGTTTCTTTTTCTTTTCTTTCTTTCTTTCTTTCTTTCTTTCTTTCTTTCTTTCTTTCTTTCTTTCTTATGATTTGTTTTGCCTGCATGTATGTATGTGCACCATGTGTATGCATGCTGCCCATGGAGGTCAGAAGGAGGTGTTGGACCCCTGAACCTGGAGTTACAGATGGTTCTGAGCCACCATGTGGATCCTTTGGAAGAACAGTATGTACCCTTAACGGCTGGGCCATCTCTCCAGCCTCAATGTGTCGCTCAGGCTAGCCTCAAAATTATGATTCTCCTGCCTCTTCCTCTCCAGCACATCCTACCAGTGTGTGATACCACAACTGGCTGGTTTTATGAGACAAGGCTGGCCTTGAATTCTAACACTTCCTGCCTCAGGTTCTGGAGCACTGAGATCACGGAAGTGCCCTAACACACCCAGCTTTCCAATTAGCCTTCTGACCATTGAGCCACAGAAAGACTGAGGACAGACAGCGCAGTGACCCGTCTTTGGAAAGACAACAAGAACCGACGAAGCAGAGCTGAGAGCATGGAGGTGTATTGGCAGGGTGCTGGCTTAGTAGACATATCATAGACATGAAAGCCTGAGTTCAATCCCCAGCACGGCAGAAACTTGGCACGGCGGTGCAGGTGTAATCCCAGCATTTGGAGGGGGGGAGGGTAGACACAGGAGGATTGGAAGTTCAAGGTCATCATAAGGAGGTTGAAGCCAGCCTGGCCTATATAAGCTGCACTTTTTCTTTTGTTATCCAGTCTGGGACCCCAGCCAAAGGAATGGTGCCACAAAGTTAGGGTGGGATTTCCTACCTCAAGGAACTAAACAAGAGAGTCTCTCACAGGCAGGCCCAGAGGTTTATCTTGGTGATTCAAGTTCACGGTATTAACCCTCACACCATCCTTTTACAGATGAAGTTCCTGGGCCACCAAGAGGTTTAATACAGGCTGCGGGTATAGCTCAGTGATACAGCGCTTGCCTACCGTTCGAAAAGCCCTGGGTTCCATCCCCACAACTTAAAAAAAAAAAAAAAAGAAAGAAAAAG